GTTATCTCTAAGATTCCTTTTAGAATAAAATTCTATTGTCTTCATTATATAGTGTTAAAGTCTCCTAAAGCTTAGCCAGCAGAGCTTTTCAGATCTTAGACAGAATGTCTTTTAGAGACCTGTAATGAGTAACTACAAAGGAATGAAAAGCACCTTAGTCCTTGGAACCTTTTGCCTAGTAGCTAGGACATGTGGCTGCAAGAGATTGTAGTTTAGGTGGTACACAACATAGGTTTAAATCATTAACTGCACATCCAGATATTTTTCTTGTTGCTATCTCACATTATACTCTGAATTTCTCCTGAATTCATTATTAAGTCTGTTTTGAAATCCCCTCCATTTTTCTGTTTTCTTTCTAATAAACAGCCCTTACTTAATTTCTTATATCTAATATCTACTGGGAAGTTTATTCTGTATTCATTTTCTGATAGTATTTCTACAACAGCAATGAAGGGAAAATAGTGTAATTTTTAGATACTATGAATGGTTCATTAGTCTTTCCTTTTAAATATGCTTCTAATACATACTGGCTTCATTTTCTATATACCTCAAGAAGACAGACATTGTTAACTCATGTAGTATTATAAAGCTATAAAGAATAACATTTTCTTTGAAAGACCTAAAACAATCATTAAAAATGTAGGAACACTCAAGGTATCCAACTCAGAATATAATTTAGGTGTTTGGATACACTTAATGGAGAGGATTAAAAATTCTGATTTTTATAGTCTATTGCTGTATCTGGCAGAAATAACCATTGAGTCATATTATAAACTGTCTTTTTAAGTTTTGTGGTAGACAGAAAGATGAATAAAACCATTAACTTACCTTTAGGAGCTTGTAGTTATTTTTTCCAGCTATGGTTCAAATGTGTTCATAGTTTATACTAAAAGTAATTCTAAAGGCAAAAGAAAAGAAAGGATATGAGAAACTATTTAAAGTGATGCAAGTTAGAAATTACCCCAGGGTAGCAATTCTCTTCTGACAATTCTTTAGTATTTTATATTTATTTCTAATAATATGTCTGTTAAAATGCTTTAACAGAGTAAAAAGTGACAAGCTCAAAGATACTGGTGAATCTTCGCCA